AACTAGAAATACCATTTGACTCATCAGTTCCACTACTGAGAATATACCCCTGTTCTGACTATAGGACAGAAACAAACAAATTCAAGCAATGATCAGCCTGGGGCCCACGTACAAAACTACAATAACAACCGCTTTGTTACATGCCGTCCAATCGGCTTCCGCTCAGGGTGCAGCACACAGACCCCACCCAGCCCACACCCCTCGGGGTCCACCCTCGCCATCCTGGCCCTTTCTAGCCCTGGGCTGTGGCCTCTGCATGTTCCCATGCCTTGCCCCCGGGAGTGTCACCTTCCTGCTGTGTCAGTGTCCTGTGGAGACTCACAGGGCTTTCACTGGCTGGTTCTGAACGTCAACCACCAGCCCTTTCTTCCTGCTCTCTTCCTTTAAGCTCCACTGAAACTGGCCGCCTGGACACTCTGGAAGTATCAAAATTCCAGTGGCTTAACTCCCAGCACCACCAGACGCAAGTTGTCGCGGTACAGCATGCCAGTGGACAGGTGGTGGCATTGGGCCGCTGTTTCTGCTGTAAAGTGCCATCAGGTTGAGTCAGAGTGACCGCTGTGACCAAGTGGAGCGGCTCATCTAGCTGGTCAGGCTGCCATCCTTACGGGAGCTCATCCTTAACTTTCTCAGAGATGCTGGGGGGGGGGGGGGGGTTCAAACCCACAACCTTTCATCCAGTTAGAAGCTGAGTGCTAAGTTTTAAGTTCCTTCTTCACCTGTGGTTATTAGGACTGTCCCCAGGTTACAGATGGGGAACTGAGACACACAGTTATGGTGACTTGTGGGGGGCAGAGCTGGGATTCTGTCTCTCCCTGGTGGGGCCCAGAATCGAAGCTCATACTGGGCAGTGCTGAGCTGGAGGCCCCTCATGGTGCACCCATGGGCCTTGGGGGCACCCAGGATCACACAGCAATTGCCCTGAACAGCCCTTCCCCTGAGCTCAGCAGAGGGACCGTTGGGGGCCCCCGCTTCCCAGCAAGTGTGTGGTTTCTCTCTTCTGTTGATTCACAGCCAGTGACCTATGGGAAGTGTGACAGGGCCCCTTGGCCGGTTATAGGGGCCCCGGCTTCCCCCAAGGGCTCTCCAAGGCGAGAGGCTCAGCTTCCTGTTCTGGGACAGGTAAAGAGAAGCAGAAATAGGTCAGGATGGTGCCCCAGAAGAACAGAAGCAGCTGGCCTGTTCCTGCTGGACGCTGGGTGCTGGACGTTGGGTGGAGCCCCTGCAGGAAGTCCAGGCCTTGTGACCACGGAAGTCGCCCTCCTGGGGCCCCAGCTGTCTGTTACAGAGGGGACGTGAGATGCCAAGCACGTTGGAGGGGGACACTCACAATGTCCACTACCTTCTACGCCTCCTGTTGACCCCAGGAAAGGAGAGACGCTCTCACATGACCCAGGACGCCACCAGCGACCTCTGCTCACGTCCCCAGCTTCCAAACAGGGCGTCCTGGTTCCCCAGCAGGCGCGCCCTCCTTCCCCACCACATGGCCATGGTCCTGATCTTCATTTGTGAGTCTGAGGAAACCAGACAAGTGTGTGGACAGGAAGTGCCCAAAGACACAAAAAATGCATAAAACACGGGCGCACAACAAGACGATTGTCACCCGCAGCTCCCAGCTGAAGGAGTGGAATCAGCAGATATTTATCTGTGTATCTTTATCACATTGTTAAGTTGTAGCTGTCACCGAGTCAGAACAAACCCCTGCCCAGTCGTGCCCCATCCTCTGTGTCTGCCATCCTCAAACCCACTGTTGCAGCCACTGTCAATCCTCAGAGGGTTTCCTCTCCCCACTGGCCCTCTCCCCTTCTCCAGGGACTCACAGTATGTAAAACCATACTTACCTCCAAGGAGCACTCTGGCTGAATTTCTTCCAAGTTTGTTCTGTTGGTAGTCCTCAAAATACTACTTTTTGCCAACAACAAACTTTGAATTCTTCATTGAACTTCCTTATTCATTGTCCAACTTTCATGCACATAAAGCAAATTAAAACGGTATGGCTTGGGGCAGGTGCACCTTAGTCTTCAAAGTGGCATCCTTGCTCACTGTCACAATAAAACAAGGAACAATATCACACATGTGCTATTCTTGGCCACAATCTCCTTATTCCCAGCAATCACCACCATGCTGACTTCTATGAATTACACTGCCATGTTTTAGTTTTCAGGCTTTGTTGTTTTGTAATGATATTTATTGTATTTTTGTTTGTTTTAAAAACTGAGCTGTTTCCAGCAACAATAGCAAAGTTCAACAGGACAGTAAACAACAAATGCTGGTGAGGGTGTAGAGAGATTGGGACTCTTATTCACTGGTGGGAGTGTGAAATGGTATAGACACAATGGAAGGCTGTCTGGTGCTTTCTCAAAAAGTTGGAACTAGAAATACCATTTGACTCATCAGTTCCACTACAGAGAATATACCCTAAAGTAACCAGAGCCATAGCTCAAACAGATGTATGCAAACCCATGTTTACTGCTGCGTTGTTCACAATAGCAAAGAGATGAAAACAACTCAAGTGCCCATCAAGTGAGTGGTTAGAGAAACTGTGGTATATTCACACAATGGAATACTACACAGCACTGAAAAACAAGGAACTCATAAAATATATGAAATGAATGACCCTCTGGAGGACATTATGCTGAGTGGAATATCTCAGCAAAAAAAGACAAATACTGCATAACACTGCTGTTATAAAATAGGACAGACATGGAGAGTTGAGGAGAGAATGGGAAGAGAGTGGATAGATAATAAACACTACATTAGATCAGATGAGGGGGAGAACT